GAAGGCACAGTTCTAAAGCCTGAAGATGGAAAAAAATTCCCAATCATTTTTACAGAATGCATTTCTGGTTTTAATCAAAATTTCACCTTGAACGCCATCTTCCATGCACACACACACTTCTATCTAAATATTCATGCTCACCCAAAGATGTTTACTTGTATCTCAAAACAGCATTATACAAGTGGTTTAAGTTTTGGTTTGTTTTTTTTTTTAACCATACCTTCTGTTTTACATGCTTAGTAGACTGATGTGTTGTGGGATAATTTCCCATATTTAGCAGATGTTAAATGGATGTTGCTTCAAATCTGACAGGAATACTAGCAACTTTATTGTTTTTAATCACATCAAGCAGCTGTGATAAAAGTTGTGCTGAAGCATAGCTCAGAACTTACAGAAAGCAAAAAGATTTAATTCAGTTTCAAAAGGGGAAGCATTCCTAGTGTACCTGAAAGAAAATGCAAAAAGAGAGCCTGAAATTTATCTCTAACAACATGCTGTTGCTATTTACACCAGAATAAATATATTAAAAGCTTATTGTTTGCATAGCATGACAATAAGGCTAAATAAGTACCTCTTCTTGCAGCTGAACTTGAAAAGTACAAAAATATTTACTATAAAAGAACGAACGCTGAGTAGAAAATAAGCTCACAGGTACAGCCAAAGACAGCAAAAGGTCAGCATTTGCCAATTGCTACTGTGGAGTTACCACAGCCACCAGGAATTCTCATTTTTTCTAATCCAGAGGAAATCTGAGGGAACTTCAGATACCATTGTGTGCTAACTGCTGGCAAACGTTACAGATTTTATCTCAATCACTGGTGTACTAACTGCTTGCATTTCAACATCAATTTTTCATTCAACTTGTTGTTCTTTAACTTATTCCTACAAAGTACAAGCTAATGCATAGATTAATAAATAAATACAACACATTTGAACATGCCATACCTACTTTATATCAAGAAGTTTAGGAATAGACACTAAATATATATTACCATGTCATGAATAATTTTTTTTAGTCTTTAAACCAGGTCACTGAAAAGAAGAATGCATTCCAGATGCAGTAAGTTGGAATAGAACCTGAAAGATGTTTTAATGAACAGCAAGGGAGCCCAACCCATTTTAACAGCTATTTAATGAATTCCTATTCCAAACAAGTCAACTTCAGGTGAGGCCCCTCGCATACAGGTACTCTTCAACTTCACAAATTTCCATATAATAAAGCAAGGCCAAGCATAGTCATCTACTTTGGCTTCATGACTCCATGAAATTCATGCTTTTTAAAATTAAAGTGCATTTTTTAGAACAAGAACCAATCTTCTAAAAATGGGCAGGAATGAAAAATACACCATGATTTTTCAGTACACAAAGAAAGTATATTGGATCAAATTGCCCAGACCGAATCTGAACATGCAGCTTCACAGCAAATTCAGTTAAAGCTGGGAAAAAAGAGCCTGATTCACAGAAAAACAACAATACGAAACAAATCTAACAGGACCAGTATGCAATTATTTTCCACTCCACCCTAGTTACCTTTGTACAGAGGGACAAGCATGTTCTGAGTTTCTGACGTTAAGAATGCTTGACTTTAAGTTTGGATCTGATTATCATGATCGTCACATGTTTTTATGTGCTGCTATCTGATTAATACTCACCCTACAACACTTTTATCTTCCAGAATCGAAGAAGACGGCTCATCCAGAATGAGAAGGAACTAGAGTATCGCTTGCAGCTATAGTTTATCACTTCAAATTTTTGTTACATAGATAAATAGAAACTAGTTCAGATGTGGCAAAACAAATGCTGAGGCGAAAGGAATATTCTGCTTGGCTCTGATTTTAACTATAAGCACATCAAGTACTGCAGTCCTAGCTGTTCTTCAAGTCTCTTCTCAAATATATGATTTCATCATCACAGAGCGATAACAGAGAAGAATAAAATGATTTTATGAAGTTCAGCTTATAATTAGTTGTGCATCTGAGTCCGCATTATCTCTGTTAGCGTTACAATAATACAACTTAGAAGTAACCCTGACCTTGTATTACTAAAACCCTGCAAAGCTTGCTGAACTATCACAGCACTCCATTGGGATATACAACACAGTATATAGTAATACGCTTTCAACACTCAGCTGCACAGAAACAAGTACTGCATGATAAATATACGGACTAGGACCCATTGCAATATATGCTTAATGAGAAGATTGTCTCTTGCAAAATGTTAGGAACTATCAACACACAACAATGCTCACACAATGACTAGTGTAACTGGCTGCCTTTGATTATAGGATGTCTTGATACGTTACATTAAGATAGTTCCTCCCAAAGGATGAACTATATTCTCTGTAGCAAATCTGGTTGGTTCACATAATAGATGTGTATTTGGCATTTTTGCTTCCCTGCTTGGCCTACTAGACTGCCTCTTACGCAGTCTTTTACTTTATAAAGTAAAAGACTTTTACTTTATAATGATTTTAGAGAAAGAGGCATCCTACACATAGAACCAGAAAATAAATTATACAAAGAGCCTAGGTGGACAAATAAAGATTATGAATGGATTGTTTTGATTTATGACTTAAATGCATAAATTCATACAGGTTTGGTGAAAAGTTTCAGATTTCTTTTGCATAATTTTTTGTTAATTACAGAAATCATACTTCATTGTCATCTTGCCCAAAGTGTTCTCCCTAATACCTCACTTAAAATCTCAGTTTAAAACCTTAAATTGTATTTATTTTAAGTTTCACTGCTTGGTGAGAAAGGTATGAAGTCTGGCTGAAGTACAGTTTCCTAAATATATTGAGAGACTTCCAGACCATGGCCCCTTGGCTTTAGAAAGCCAAACACGTTTTTCCAAATTCACACCATTTGTGAAATGGTAAAGGAAGAAAGCAGCAAGCGGTTTCACTCAAACCCTCCTAAAGAATGCCATTTCTGCATGCTTGTCCCAAGAAAGGGGGCCTATGTTCCAGATTTACACCCACATTATGAGGGTTATCGTGTCACCCTGAATATTTCTACATTTCATTACACTTCTAAACATGAAAGCAAGATAAGCATGTGGCTGCTGCTTCTGATACACAAACTTCTAGCCACTATCCAGCAATACTTGCTGAAGTTCAGTAAAATTAATCACACTTTTTAATGGTTATGAAAGCAATCACTCTTTGAGAAGCTAATATAGACACCTCTCATTTTTTTGTGACACAGCATGACTTGGCACACACTTTAGGTTTAGTAATCTCAAAAATGTTACCATATGAAGTAGCTTATCCACTTAAACATTAACATATTTATCATCAGTGAGTGATGATTTCTTCAAAGCTAAGGACTCCTCAAGGACCTTACAGTAACCTCATAATCATGAGGTTACTGTAAGCATCCTTTGTGAACAGGCAGGGCAGGGACTATATCGTGCTACTAATACAATGTTTTTCCTAGTCTTACTGGATCCCTCATCATAATTCTCCTACTAGAAAGACTCTCGGTACTTGCATTACTCTTTTTTCAGTGCTCTTTCACCATTCCTGCCCTCTTTCTTCATACGGTGAGTCTGTCCTCACTCATCTGCTGATGTCTGTCTCTTTTTTCCCGTGTGCTATTCTCTTGAAAAATTACTTTCTTGACTCCTAATAATTCTTTTTTCTCCTTCTCTCTCTCCCCACAAAGCTCACAAGAAATCCCTGAGGAGGGACTGAGATTAATGGTAAACTCTGATCCAATATATCTGGAGAGCAGAAAAGAGAATATTATGGAATTTAAAAAAAAAATATTCAGAGAGCAGAGAGCCCGAGTTCAGGCTCTGGTGTGACAAAAAGGAAGGATAAAGAGTCTTCCTAGTGTCGTGACATAATCTCTACCGGGTCCTTTAAATTAAAGAGAGAAATCTGGGAAGATATCTGCTCTCCCTGAAGGAGACTGGCCCTTTGAAGTAACAAAAGTGAAAGAAAAAAATTTCCTCTATCTACTGTGCAAGCAAACATCTACATCATGGTAAGAAAATTATTCAGCTAGGCACACACTGAAATAGCCTCCTAATACCAATTTATATTTCACAACTTATAAACAAATATGTTTTTTTTCAAGTGAATAATAATCAGCAGTCATTCCTAGAAATTATATATTCATTGTTTTGTTAGGTTATGCTGAGGACTAGAAACAGCACTGGTGAGGCTGCTTTCTGCTGACACTAAATAAGCACTTAGTAAGGGTAAGCTAATCGTCATCCAAAATACAGACTATATGTAAGACCAAGCCAGAATCTGAATTACAGAGATTATAGGGGGTTCACTGGCATGTAAACATAAACTGACCCTAGGGTTTACTGGCTAGATTGTTACCCCATGTGATTACGTATGTGTGAAACTGACCTGCAGTGACCCTAAGAAAAACAGCAAGAAAAACATGACTTTAGGGGTTGAATGTTCACTGCTAGAATCTGTGAACAGAGAAATTGTTATGTGTTTTATTCCTACTGTATTCATGGAAACAGGGCTGTGGGTCTGTTTTTTGTTAGTAATGAAACAAACAACTGCCTGAAAAAATACCCAACTCTTCTCAGTTTCTCATGGTAACATTATGCAAGATCCTGAAAATTCCTCAACTCAAAAAGGAGTAACATGATGCAAGAATATTACAGGATAAATTGTGCCATTTATTCTGCGGCACTTTTCCTGCATGCATCCTTCATGCAGGTACTTAAGTACTGATGGTACTTAAGTTTTGCTTTATGAAGGTCTACCATGTCACTTTTGCAGTCTACAGTAAAGTTTATAAATTTAGAAAATAAAATTCTGCCTAATCCTATCTGTCGGTACATACTAAATTAAAGAATACCTTTTCTTTCTATCTAGGTGGAAAGATGGAGCAGTCATTCATTCACACAGACTAGTTAAAAAAGCACACCATTAACCAGGAAAAACAAAGGCAGAATTACAACTTCTCCGTATTTTCATGAGGAATAGAGAGCCTTTTATTGGTAAGAGAGACAGAATTCAGACTTACTGTGCATTTGTTCGGCTTCTCTCCTGAGTGGACTCTCATGTGAATCAGCAGTTTATAACGGGCATTAAATGGCTTGTACCTTCGTGGGCACCCTGCCCAGAAGCAAGTGAAGTCCTCTCCTTTCCTCTGGTCTATATGTATCTTCTCTATGTGCCGCACAAGTTCCTCTTGCTGGTCATACAGTGCACCACAGTCAACCCAGCGACAGCCATGCTTGCCATTGAAATCATCTAGCTCACCATCTTCGTCAAACAGGGAGTCTGGGGCAGGAGGCGGCACAGGCAGCGGGTGAATGTGACTGGGGAGGCTGTGTGGATGCCGGTGCTGGTGAGCATGGTATGGTGGGGGTGGCCCTTGTGGAGGAGGCGCCGGCAGCAGGGGTGGAGGAGGCATGTCGACTGTATGGCCTGAGAAGTAATCCAGCCGTTCATTTTTCAGGATGCCCACTGCCTGGTTGTCCGCAGGTGGCATGCCCTGCTGGATCACCATGTTACTTGTGGCGGCCATCTGCAAGCTGGCTTGCTCCAACTGCTGCATCCGCTGGTACTCACCAGCCCCATTCTCAACGTACCCTGGGAAGGTGACATTGCCGTTAGCCATGAGAAGGCCTTTCTGGGCAGTTGGAATAGAGCAACTTTGGGGTATACAGCTTCCTCTCACTCCCAAAAAATGTCCATAGACCTCAGGCTGTGGGGAGACGTTTGCTGGTGATGTCCTGGAGCTGTTGATGTAGGCCACCAGGGAGGTTGGGGATGTACGGATGATTGTATTGAAGTCGATCCCAATGCCGTCAGACAGAGGAGACAGAGAGAGTGCTCTCTTTTTGGAGCGGGCTGATTGAGACCGGGCTGAGGAGTGGCGAGGACTAGAGTAAGGGGAATGCTTATTTTCCATGCCATATAAGTAGGACGGTAACGAGTTAGAGACACAGTTACTGGACACAGATGTTTCAGGTGAAAAATTTAGTAAGTCCCCCAGCTCACTGCCGTTTTGTAAACCTTGGTCAGGAGGAACAGAAGGAAATGTCCTGTACCCATGCGACCACTCTTGCTTAACACTCAAAGTGGACTGACTTTCTGACAAGCTTAATGTCGTAGAGGCCAGAGACTCACGTGACAAGAGCGACCTGGAATAAAGGCACAATAAAGTAAGTAACCAGTTAGACAATTCAGCAGTGGTTCTTCTATCTTCACACACAACATAAAATTAAAGAAAGGCCACATGTGAGAAAAGTTCTCCCTAATTTTAGGTACTCAATTTGAGCACTCTCAGTTAGTGCAACTTTAGCACTCTCAGGCAATACATAGGTAACAAGGTCACTTAGGAAACCAACTTTAAAACGTCAAGATTTTGAGAAAAGTTGCCGTAAAGGTTCTTGATGCATCACTGCAGAAATCAGTGCAAATTTTTTCATCAACTGTGGTGTAAATAGGTTTGGGCTTCTGAAGCCAAAGCGTTGTGCTCCTGCCTTGTATGAAACTCATATTGATTTCAGTTGACTATTATTTTTGCTGGCAAAGATGGGAAGAAAACGGAATAATAAAGGATAAATATTTAACCTGACCACGACAATGACTTTGCCAATTGTAACGCATACAAATAGTATTCTCTACAGAAATAGCTCGTTTGTAAATATAGATAATATCTAACTTTACAAAACAAACAAAATAAATGAATAATGTAGAAGAACTGGTTGAAGGGGTTTATTTAGTTTTGATTTGATGATGTGTCTGCCTCCAAGTCAGCAATCAAAAGTTTTCACAAAAGTGTAATCTTGCTGTTATCGTTGGTTTTTTCACAGAAATATTATGAAACTTGTTTATGCTGCAAATGTCCTATGGGTAGCTTAAAAAAAGAGCTCATAAGCTCTTTACAATATTGTTTTCTACAGAAGAGTATAAAAAGGAAATACAAGGACATCAGGGTCCCTGATTCATGCCTGCAAATGCTGGGTAGAGGCCAAGTGAATTTATGTCTTTATGTTTCCAGTTCACATCTTGGCAGACTTGGATTTCCTGCCAGCCGGTGGTGCTATCAGTATATTAATTTCTATTTTTAAGGGGCTCTAACAGTAAGAAGAACCAGGTATGTATCTAGATAAACCTGGAGATCTCGTAGACACAGAAGCCTCTGCATCTTATGTGTTGGGTGTTAACTCCTGGGTTTAGTATTTTCACAATACACAAGAAGCATAGTATTTCAATGGTGGATCAAGTACATAGGAAATTTGGTTTCTCTTCTAAATCTAAAATGCATTTTTTAAGGTGGACAAGTCAGTCACTGCTTCTCAGCTTCTCACATAAAAAACAAGATACACAACAGTTCCTCCTATCATACAAAGGCTTCAGGAAGTCAAATTAACTTAAAAAAAGACAGCTAATAAGTGCTAATAGGTACCTTAAATACCAGGTGTTGAAAAACATTTCTTAAAGCTCTAAGTAAACAGTATATGAATTATTTACATGCAATAATCCAAAGGAACTGTCATGTAGGCAAGGAATAATGTATTCTTATTTACAAAGGTAAGTTCCCATAGTCAGTTATTTATAATTATTTTACTACATGGTTTTATATTGCTACAAACTTCAAATTTCTAAAAGAGAAGGTATGCACCGTAAAGAAAATTAATAAAAACAAATCTCATCTCTTCCTTGATACAGACACCGTTACAGCAAGCACCTTTGAGGAAGCACTTCTACGTATTTTACTTGCTGCTTTTTTTTAAATAGGGAAGCAAGTTTTGATGTCCACTCAGGGTAAGCAATAGTGCAGTTGCTTCTGAGTTCTGCAAGATTTTCTTATAGACACTGCTTCAGGAAACAAGGATCCATGGACAGATCTGTTAAGGCTCATAGTTGCATCGTATGTCTGCACCACAGCCCTACTGCAGTGACTGCAGCTTCGGTGGAGATACATGAAACTACTGAATGTAAGAATTAGTGGTAGGCTAAAACTGGGGATCTGAATCCCATTTACAACAACATCAGTCAACCTAAAAGAGCAAGAACAGATCCTAAACAATGGCTCTGGAGCTACTTCCAGTGAATATGTCAATATTTACCAAATTACCATGATTTTGCTTGGTAAATTGACTTTTCACCTCTGAGATCTGTGGATTATCTTTCAATTAGATCAGCAACATTGAAACAATATATGAAAACAGTACGTAAAGTCATTCAGGCAAGAGGAAGGTATATAGCTTTCCACGTTCAGTTCTAGCCACGAGGATAAAGCTGAAAAATTACAGTGTTTTTCTTATCTTACTCTGCCCACCGCACGAGCACTCCCTGCATGATGGGGTTTTTCCTACTACTTAATATTACAGCATTTTCCAGCACTTGAAAGTCAACCAACATGAAGGAAGAAAAGTTGGTTTGCAGTGACTTTGGTTTAAGGGCTGGATGGTGCTGCAGGAACATAGCCCAGTCATTGCCAGAAGGCTGGATGAGGGGAATTGGTGCTCAGGGCACCATGGCTACCCCCTCAGCCCCTTTTTGTCTAGAGGGAAAGCTTGGCACAGGCTGAGGGAGAGAGGAAGCGGTTTGCACGTGCTATGTCTGCGCACTGAGATAGCTCATGAACAGCGAAAATGTAGCTTTAAATATCACCCAGCCTTGCCGTGGTGACCTACAGGATAGATGGGTAAATGCTCCTTTGCTGAAGACACTTGCTTTGTAACGGATGGTTGATTTGCTTCATCAGAATAAGAAACATCCTGTTCAGATTGAGTGTCAGTATAGGGTACTGTTATGGAGGTTACGTTACTCCATCAGGGTTTAAATGGCACTATCGAAACAGAGCACTGAAGAAAAACACAATTAACATGCTGACTACAATTTGCATTGAGAAATTAGAAAAATGGGATTGCTATATCATGTCAACCTTGTGTAAGATTTAGATCTAAAGGGATAATTATTTGTGAAAAAAATTGATTCAGGCTGTTGGGTCTGTTACCAATGGGCTTTGTTAAAGCACAGTTCATTATAGGGCAGTTAAATCATGTTAGTATGCTGTGACCCCAAATACAGATCCACAGTCTTCAACAGAGCAAGAAAAATAAGTAAGGTTTGATTTTCCATGCTAGGCTATATATATTTATATCTGGAAAATATAAACAGGGGTTTTTTTGCCAGTTTGATTATTTAAATTTTTATATTCTCTTCTATAAGTAGGGGAAAAAAATCATGCATCAGTATAATAAGTCCATTTTTGTAATGTCACGACTTTTAATCAGATGCATAGTAGGACCAGTGTCATTCAAAAAGCTACTAATGCCTAACACAAAGGGACAAACCTGTCAGTGAAGCTGAAGAAAAACTGCATTTTAAAAGTCTCGTAACGGGACAAAAATTAAAAGTTGGCCCAGAATTTCAAGTATACAATAAGAGCCAGCTAATCTGAAGAAGTTTTGTTCTCACTTCAGCCTCTAAATTCAAAAGTAACAAAGATTCCAGCTCCCAAAACAAAGAAAATTTCTTTAAAACCCAGGCCACCCTGTGACTAAGTAGTTTTCTGGGGGAAAATAAATATACCTAATATGAAAATGAAGGGCCAGCTATACCACTGTGCCAGATTCTCAGATGGTATTAATTGGCACATCTGCTTATTGTAATCTAAACCAGCTTGAGTTTGGACCAGATCTTTCATGAATATTTACAATAGATTCCTGCAATTACCTTCTATTCTCCCTCTGTGTACAGAGGCCACAGTGTCAAGTATAACCCAGAATCTTAAACATAAACATGGAAGAGTGAAAACTATGTTTTCTTATCTTTTTGCATGATCTTCTGTTTTACTAGCCAAGAACCCTTTGCTCTTTCCTAGGTCCTTTTCCGAGTTGCATCAAAGTAAATGGCAGCATTACATCTGGTTTCAAGCAGCATAACTGAATACTTAGCAAAAGTTTTTGGGAAACTCTCAAAAAAGATGGGGAAGGTTTTATCCCTCATGGTCTATATATACCAAAATCTGATGTTATCTGTAGCAAAACTCCAATTTTGCCAACTTTTTTCTTTCTTCCATCAGTAAAAATCAAGACAAGTTATTTTGGTTTGGGTCAATTCAGCAAATAATCTGGTTTGGATTGAGCTGCCAGAGCACAGTTCATGATGCCTGAGATACAATTCAGAGAAAGCACTCAGCCCCTGAAGAATTATGGAGTCAGCTTAGGCAACCAGTTTAGGCAAATGCAGTTTATTGCTGAAGCTATTTTAAAAAAAAAAAAAAAAAAAAAAAAAAAAAAGTGTTTCAACAATCTGTGAATTAAAATCTGACTTTAAACTTGTTTTGCCCTATAAAATAGTCAATTTGAGAGCAAAATTGCTGAAATGGACATTCTTTGTGTGACAAACTGATTTTATAACACCATCATTGATAAATCATTAAAAGAGACTCTAGGGACACTAAAGCCTCGATTCTGCCAGAGTTTCAACTTCAGTTCTCCCTTAGTAATTCAAAATAAAAACAAAACAAAAATGTATAACTCGGTACTGTCATAGTACACCCAGCCACACATTCAGATAAAAATAACAGTGTTCAGAACCATACAGGCACACCTAAAACTTATTAAGTAAGTAATAATTACTTGATGATATTTTTATATCATCAGTTTTGTTCTGTCTCAAAGGCATGTCTCTGGATTTGTCATTTGTCATCATCTTAGCACTGAATGGTTTTCCCTGACACATTTACATAGGAAGCATAATTAATTCTGTAAATTGTCCCGGGGGACTCAGTCTTCACAACTGAAGTGACAGAAATGTCACAAACTACCTTATAGTAAAGCAAGGTTTTCTTCCAGTTACATAATACCAGTTTTAACTATTGCAAGAATGTTCTTTGGCTTGTAATAAAGTGATATAGTAAAATGTAAACTGTTTTGAGAATAAAGACTCTTTGTGGCCTTTTGTAAATAAGAACGGTTATATCTCAGCTCAGTAGGCAACTGTTACACGAGTCACATCTACAAAAGTGGGAGCATAGCTTCTGAAATAACGAACCAGAATGTTTTCTCACTGTATGTTTAATATCCAGGGATGTGCTTAATATATTTGTACGGAGGTTGTCAAATAACTATTTTCCCTTCATTTGTGTTTGTCGACAATACTCAAAGGCATAATCTCAAAAGTTATTTAAGCATTTAAAAATTAATCAACAAATATTTATCTGTGTAGCAATATAAAAAGGCAGGATTTACAGGGAGAGGACATAGTTTTTATTAAACTATGCACCAGAGCTAGGAAAATGGACAAGTTTTCAGGGACATAAGTCTAACAGATAAAGTTAACTGCTGGCTCAGTGGAGACTGGGAACAATTGATCTGATTAACTTAATTATGTAAACGATTAAACAATTTGAATGCAAAGGTATTTGATAAGGGGAGAGAAACGTTAGCAGGGCATTTAAGTTTATTTTGTCTGATATTAGTGTTACTTAACAGGCACCAACATAACCCCCTTAGCACTACGGTAAGTTTAAAACAGGTCACTGCCCCTGAGGATGTAACACGTGGACTATTTCTGCTTTCATCCTCCATAACATTTCCTGTCCTTAGTACAAAAATATAGTTAAGTGATTATAAAAATCTTTATCTAACAAAAAAGCCCTATCAAACATAGAAAATGCGTGGCCAAATTTCACCCATGATTTGAATGATCCAAACAATATTATAGCTGATGTGAGCTAAATTGCATTGAATTAAATTTCCCGTGGCATAACAGAGCATCATTTAGGCCATTTTAATAACCAGAAAGGTTGTATTTATATTACAGGAGAATTAAAATACCCTCTTTTTAAAGTACTGAATATAAAAAAGTAACTCAGGACCTTGTATCTGATGGAGAAGCACTCAGGCTGGAAGCATCCATAGATCTCTGTAAGCTAGGGCTGATCTGGTTGCATGATGTTGAAATCTGATTAGCAGGAGGTGAAACAGGTCCCAGCTGTTGAAGTGTCATGGGACTGCTGTTGACTATTACATTGTTGCAGCTGCCTTTTCCAATGGACTTGCACTGGGGTCCATAACCAAGACCTCCTAAAAATAAACGAGGCAGGTTAGTATTCATCTCTCATGAACCCACGATGAGGCCACAGAACTCACATCACTTTGCAAAGTGGGAAAAGTGACTGGAACTGAGTATCTTCAGATGAGGACGAAACAGGGGACCAATACAAGGACTTTGTCAACTTCTCCAAACACAAAAAGCAATATTCTAAAGGGGAATTAATAAATTATGCACGTTTAAAACATGTGCTGAAGTACATAAACTAAAGACCAGGCATCATGGATAGACATCAGAAAAAACACCACTGGAAGAGTCCGGGTAAAGGAGCAGCCCTCAGCTGAGGGACAGCCAAGCCATAAGCACACCTTTCTCTGAAGAAGGAGGGAAGAGACAACCCAAGGAGGCTGCAGGAACACCACTGTACCTTGAATCCTACCAAACCCCACAGCTCCAAGCCATTGCAAGCCCTTCCATCATTCCTACTACTAGCTATCCAAAAAGCAACGGGACTACAGGCATGCATGTGAATTGCAATCCCTGCAATAGGTCTGGTGTGGCGAAGTGCACAGGCTGCATAGTTTCCCCGGCAGGAGAGAGTTAACAGCTGGAACCCAGCATTCCTCAGAGGTCTGGGGAGGGCAACTTGAGCTGGATCAAGCAGAGAAGCGTTCTGGACTTTCTTTAAAAGGCCACAATCTGCTCTTAGTCACTGCTGCCGTGACTCAAATTGATGGCTATTACACAGTAGCACAAGATGATTACAGAAGTAGCTGGCAAGTGGGACATATCTGCAAAATGCTCTGCGTACTTTGTGTTCTGATTTAGGTCACAGATGGTGGTTTACAAGATCCCCTGCATTAAAACACATCAAGGTGAAAAAGTTAAAATGTAGGTCATAATATGGAAGTTGTTGGATATCTAGCAAATTCTCATGACAGTTGGAAATTAAAAATTAAGATGATTCACATTTCTAGCTGCTTCCCCATGTTCAGACTACTCCCCAAAGCAGGATAGCAACATCAGGACAAATAGTGAAAAGCATTTCAATTTAAACCATTTTCTAAATTAAATCTACTTTTGACTTGGTTTTACAACTCACATACTAGTTTTTCTCAAGGATGTTCAAATGGGTTGTGAACTTCACAGAGAAGTACAGTATGGCCCTCAAGTCATAGGAAGAAAATCCAAATCCTTCAATCTCCTCCACATGAAATAGGATCATCTTAAAAATTTGCAATTCACCCTAGAAATTTCAAATTATAGCTTTTCTTTTTCTAAAAAAAAGAGAACAAATAGGTATGTTTATTCCTGTTTCAGAGGTCTGTGCCTTCTTTTCAAATTATTATTCTTCTCTTTGACTAATTAGTAATATCTCACATATACATGAGGAGCACATACATGATTCTCAGTCCACTGGGATCCTAAGTGCTTTGTAAATTCATGTACAGATGTTACAAGTTGATTGCATGATCTATCACCAAAATGTACTCCTTGGGATGAAATACGGCAGCCCTTTAAGAAAAACAACTTGCTCATTGCTACTACTTCAAAACATAAGTGAAGAATACAGCATCTGGCTGAAAACTCAAGGGTAAGGAAAGAAGAAAACATTTAATAACCCATCCTGAAATTTAGCTAGAAGGACTGGAAATTTCCGAGGACAAACATGTAAGGGGAATTCCTCGTACTGCACTCAACTCCATTGTGGGTACCAGAAAAAAAGCTTTTAAGCTTTGTAGGATTACTGTCTGCTCTCACTAAAGATGTCCAACTAAATCAAAAGAATAAGAGAAGGCATTTTATTTTCTTTCCTGTGAAGCAGTCTGTATTTTGAACTCACTAAAGCTGATTCAGTGTGCTACTCAGCAGTTGCTTTTATAATGTTACAGAGTGCTAAAATGGAACCAGCCAGCAAAAATTAGGCAAAAAGCGTAAGTTGCCCCTGGTAATAGTTGCCCTCTTAGCAAAAGGCTGGGTGGGGTGAAGTAAAAAATTTACATGACACATTCACATCATATAAAATACATAATACTACATAATATGCCTATATGTGTGTGTACATTACATACGTTCAGTCAGCTATTTTTTAGAAAAGTGTCTTTAGTATGTAGAACCAAAGGCTTTCTGCATCAAAGGATATAAAAGACAGGGAAGCGTGCTATAATAACATAAGAAATCCAACTGGTTTTGACACTGAAACACGGATGTAATGCTTGTAGAGCCTATATATATTGACTATTTAATAAGATGTAAACCTATTATTTAGCATTGAGAAAAGCAGCTTTACCACAAAAATGTACCAAATATATACTGATTCTTCCCTGGATGACACCATAATGCCCTTCACTCATAAGCCACTTCCAACAAATTTCAGTGGTAGCAATAACATCTACTTTATCATATCCAGGAAATCAAGGGCTGTGCACTTGTAAGATTTTCATTCAGGGACAGGCCATATATTGGTTCAGCCGACAATCTGCAACCATACAGTGAAATTGCTATTTATACGCGATTAAGCCTCAGCTACTTGGAACTTACATGACAGAAGAAAAAAATCCCAAAAGCAAAACCAGAAAAGGGAGCAGTGTCAAACCAGTACTGTGAAATACAGAATGTTGCATCCTCAATACATCCTGGTTTCCTTTTCAATTATAGGGTCTGCTGTTACTATCCATGCATAAACAGCACCTCAGTGATGCTGAGAACAGCTAAGAGAATTTGTTGTGTAAGGATAAGGATGAAGGCCAAAGATGGTCTGGTCACTGAAAGGAAAAAATGAGAAAAGGAGTACTTTGGAGGCATTGTATTACTAGGATAACAGACTAAAGTAATGCAAGGCTCCGGTCCTGATAAATATTTGCCCGGGCATTTCTCTGGTGCAGAAGTGGAAGGAAAAGGTTTTGCTCTTTTTATCGTTGATAAACAATTGTTGTTATGGGGAAAAATGACAATTCTTCCACTTAAAAGGCTGGGGGCAGGGGGGAGAAAGAGATTATCAAGAAAGAACCTATCATCAGCTCCCACTGTTGAAAGAGACTGCAAAGTAAAAGACTACTGCTATGAAAAGCAAAGTCATAACATCTTATCCAGTGTTTCATACAGATGTAAATGTGCCAAAAGACCATCATTAATATCTCATCTGTGCCCTGCAGGTCACTGAGCAGTATTAATTTGATCTGAATCAGGCCTGAGCATACAATCACATGTCTGTTGAGCTAAGTCAGAGCACAAGATAGGAAGCTTATGCTGACTTTGAGCCAGCTGCAGGATTACAGACCACATCTGATCTAGCATAAAGTTAAATGGGTGCAACATGGACATCTGACCTGACATGAGCCTGCTGCTAAAAGGCAAGCTGTCAGAAAATGTGTTCAAACGCGCTGAATAAATGTGAACTGGCAGAATGACTATGTCCCACATCAGCATTTGGCATCATATACCCACAGTGCAAGAGGAGCCCGCAGTCCAGGTTTGTTGTATCATTGACCCAAAGCCTGACAATTTCAGGACAGTGAAAGGACAACCAGGAATCCCTTAATGTCTTGAATCCACATCAGCTGACATAAATGGGAACCTCTTTGGAGGACATCAGTGGGTTTTGAATGAGGCTATAGATTCTAAGAAAAATACGTGGACCTAATATTTTAAATAAGCAAGAGAAGCAATTTCTTTTCTTATATACTAAGATATAAATCAGGAGATAGTCCAATAAAGGCAACAATAGTTGAGGAGGTGGAATCAGTCCTGAGCTGGCTCACAGGAAGAGCTGCGGTTGATTAGCATGTCAGTTATTCCAAATAAACATATTACACATAAATCAAAACTGTTCTTTATCAGTAACTAACAGTAATAGTTAACAAGTATAAACAGTAAAAATATTTTATGGAAATATTTTAATCCATTCACTTCCTCATTCATTAGCTTGCCTATTTTTCCTGTTTATTCTCTATAGTTGGTTCTTAGTAGAATAGCTAAGCGTCACTCATCCTTGACATGCAAATATATTTCACCGCAATCTTCTGAAGAACATTCAAAGAATACAGAAAAATACAACTACTTTAATTTAGGTACACTGAATTTCAGATGAGATTCTTTTAATTTATATCACTCATACTTTTTGGAGGCAGAGTCCCACATGAAAATATTTCCCTTTAAACACATTTTCTTTTATCAGATATTGATTGAAAACCAACCAATTTCTTTGTCTACTCCAAGTCAAGAGTAGTAACTTGTTAATTCTGCCAAGTAACTCAGGTTATAAAATGAAACTGCTTCACCAAACCTTTGAAATTGTAAACTATGCTTCCCATGTATAAATGATAATACAATAGAAACATATAACAGCAAAAACAGTTTTAATTGCTTGGTGTTCTGAAATGCACAACATACCAAATACATAACACCAGATCAAATTAAATTATCTCTTAGATCAATAAATTCTGCAATAACTGAATTAATCGGTATGAAAGAAAGCTATTAAAATTATCTGAAAATCTGTCCTGTTGTTACTGTTAGAATAACAGCTAGAAATAAAAGTATTGCAACAAAGGAGCAAAAGGTAATTTCCCTAGGGGATTTTCTGTCTGTTGAGGCACAGTAATTAAGAGCTTTGGAAACATTTGGTTTTAATGTTTCCCTTGTAATTGGCTTCCAGTCTGGTTTGTGTGCATTCTGTGTTCACCAAAATGGGGAGAAAAGAGCATACCCAAAAAAGCATATTGTAAGACAATAAATACTAAAGAGGACAGAGACCAAAGCAGTAAGTAAGACTCTGTCCATGTATTCTTCATGTAGATTAGTCATAAGTCACCATGGCCTTTTCAAACCACATTTGGTCTTTTTCCACAACATGGTGAATCTTCTGGATGTTGCAGTCCCCAGCTACCACGTACATCTTTGCTGTGTGTCACCGTATCTGCGGGGTTGTTGGCACCCTAGTTGGAGGGGCTTCGCAGTAGCTGCTGACTGAACATTCAAAGGTTTGCTTGGAAGACTTGTTTCTAGATGGGAAATATCCCAATCACTCTCG